TGTTGCACCAGGTGATCCCGTAGCCATCAAGCTGCATCAGTTTCCTGCAAAACAAAACAAAACAAAACAAAGAAAAAAACACATAGACAGCGCCTTGTCCCCATATGAGTCCAAGGTTGGGTCCATGCCATTAATTTGTTAAAAGATTCCTCCATTTTACTTTAGGAAAAGTTTTTTGGTTTTTGTATGCCAAAATCTATCTGCTGCAGATTTACCATGCTTATCAATTTTTTTTTTTAATTTAGGTGTCCAGGGGAGTGGCTTTCCCTTCTTTCTTTTTTGCAAGTAAATCTTAATTGTTCGGTGGGCATGCTCTAGCATGCCTTGTCCTTGAGGATTGTAAGGTATTCCAGTTATATGAGAAACTTGAAACTGTTGACAAAATCATTTTAAAAGATTTGCTGGTATATCCTATTTCATTGTCAGTTTAAATTGCTTAGGAACTCTTCGACAATGAGCAATAACATTTTTTGCAGCTTCTCCTGGTTGAGGAGTAGCAAAAATAAATCCAGAATAGGTATCAATGCAAACGTACATTTTTTTAATTTTCCAAATTTAGGAATATGAGTAATGTCTATTTGCCAAATCTGATTTGGAACCAGTCTTTTAGGATTAACTCCCAAATGAGGAACAGGCTGAAACTTAGGACAAGTACTGCAAACCTTGAGTATACTATGTGCCTGTTTCTTAGTCAACCCATATTTAAGTCTCAAGGTTTGACTATTAAGATGATGCATGTTATGGGCATCCTGGGCTCTTTAACTGTGAACAATAAACTTTGGTGGCTTTATCTGCCAATGCATTTCCTTTAGACAGGGGTCCTGGCAAATTAGAATGAGCCCTCAAATGTCCTATAAAAAATGGGAAAGTTTCTTGTATCAAGTTTTGAATTTGTAAAAATAAAATTACAGCAGGAGAAAACATTTGGATTTGACCTGCAGTCTCTAACCTAGGCAAAGACAAAGCGGCCACAGAGGAGGACTTTGCAGCCAGCCCTGAAGATACCTGATAAAACAGGGTCAGATGAAAGGGGAGGAGGTCCTCCCCTATCAGTGGACTTGGAAAGGGGCAGGGAGGAGACCAGGGAGGGAGTGTGGGGTTGGGGAGGGAATGAGGGAGCGGGATACAGCTGGGACACAGAGTTAACAAAATGTAACTAAAAAGAAAAATAAAATAAAAAAAAAGAAAAAAAATGTTCAAAGACTGCTTATTAAAACTTTGAAACACAGCCAATACTGTAGATAACTCTGCTATTTGTGCAGATGTGGTAGATACTTGAAAAGACATTGTTTTTCTTTCATAAGCACAGGCACCAACATCAGATTTCACTATAGATGGTTTTGAGTCACCATGTGGTTGCTGGGGATTGAACTCAGGACCTTTGGAAGAACAGAGTGTTCTTAACCTCTGAGCCATCTCTCCAGGCCCCTCTGTTTGCGACTCTGTCATAACAAGCTTACATATGTTAAAATGCCATATTTATTGGTGTCTGACAAGTCTGAAAGCCAGCATATTTAAGTTACTCTTTGTCTACCTTTATCATCTTCACTAAACTGCATACTATAAAACAGGATATTATAATCTTTAATTTTGGTATATTTTTTAAATGTATGTTTTAGAACCAAATTTTAGGTAGATCTATAGAGGCAAACTTTATGGTTACCCATTTTAAATTTAACCTTAAAAAACAACCTCAACAAAGGGACTAGGTAAAACTCAATCTTGTACTCAAGTATAATTTTTAGCATAACTTTAAATCTCTTTTTAAACTAAAATCAAAGCAAAACTTTTAATTACACATAATTTATAAAGGGGCTAATAAATCTTATTAATCCTATCATAATGTAGTAAAACTTAACAGCAAAAAAATTAAAGGACAATAGTTTTATTTAGTATTAAATATAGAACTAAATTTAGCCTGCAGCCTTCAGCAAAAATGGACTATTCTGGCCATACCAGATCTATAAAAAGAAACAGCATCAAATCATTTATTTAGGTACTGGCAGGCAGGCATATGTTTTATATAATGGTTAACAATGATCTGAATATAACCCTGCATAACCCTGGGCTAACATGGAACTGTAGTCCTTTTTCTCCTGTAAAAGAGCATAAACAAACATTTTGCATTGAAGAATCTCCAGCCTTTTTAAATGAAGAACAACATTTTTTATAGTTTTTTTTACATGATATATTGTAATAACTGCAGTTTTTGTTTAATTAGCTTAAACAGCATGGCTTGGTTTTACTTTATAAAATTAATTAAAAAAATCAAGATCTTTTGACCTTCCCCAAAGTGTTGAGAAACTATCTTTTTAGTTTTTTGTTAGACTGTCCAAGGGTTATTATTTTAAAATACCTAATAAATTTTAAAATGTTTTATAGAATTTAACTCTGATGGACCAGGACCAAACTTAGAGGTGTTGATTTAAGCTGTCTCATGTCCAAAAATATTAATATCATTAGTCAAGTCCACAGATAAACATATACACACATGGATTCGAGAAGAAGCACATAGCCCTCTCTTATTCTTCATGCAGAATAAGGGCCCAAAGACCCTCTCTCTTGGTCCCAAAGGAGTAAAGCCTTTACGGGCCCCTTCCCCAGGAATTGGTGCGTCTTCCAAATTTCCTTGACCAGACTGGAAACTCTCTAAGTTTCCCAGACCTCATGAGCAAACCAAAACCAGAAACCAAAACAGACAGCAGGCACACAAAAACAAAATACAAAAACAAAGACAAGAAACAACTGCGGTACCTGCTTTTTAAACATTTAATTTTTTTAAACCTGTTTTTGTAATATTAAAACAAAGTTTCCTCTTTCGGAATGAATTTACAGAGAATAACCATGGTTTCAAAAATCAGAACTGGATTTAAAACTCAGAATTTATCAGTGCACACAATTTAATCTTTAAAACTAGAAGTGGCTCCATCCCTCTGGCCCCTATCCGAGAGCTGACACTGACTGAAACCAGTGGGAGTAGGAATGAGAGGAAGAAGGGGTTGCCAGTCTAGATTACAGTATTTGGGGTCTTTTTCCTCAAGGGAAGTGACCTTTTCAGGGGAAGGCTGGTCATTAGGACCATCCAGTTTCTGCAAGCAGAGGGCAGTAAGGGAGGGGTAAAGGGAGTAGGCAGTGGACTGAACTGCCTCTCAGCTCAACAACCAGTGGAGGCTGGTCTTAGGCCAATTCTGAGGGTGTGAGCGTTCTCATCCGCTCAGTTCTCTGCAAGCTATCTCAGCCTGGCCAGCAGTAGGGGAAGGGAAAGGAGATACTTAGTGTCCACGTTCCTCCTGCTCACCATGTTACAGCCATGCTTCATGCATGTGCATGGTCTCTTCCTGCCGGCCTGGAGGCCTTTTTACTTTGTTTGAGTAGAAGGGAAGCGGGCACAGGAGGCCAGTCTAAATTATGAGACTTGGCAGTTTCTTCCTCTGACTCTGTTTCATCCTCACTATCTATCTCCTAAATTATTTTTTTGCTCTCAAATTACACAAATCTGTTTGAGCTCCTTTATGAACATTTGAAATAACCTTAGAAGTACTTTTTTCTGCCTGTTTGGCTGCTCTAATTTCGCAAGAAACTTTTTAGCTTGTGAGATTCCTTTTTGTTTACCCTTACTACTTGTGTCTTGAGGGACTCCTTGAGACCCTGTAAGAATAAGTCATGCTTACTCAATTCTTGTCTCATTATTTGTCGTTCTGACTTACCTCATGGATCAGACTCAGAGTCGGGCAGCTCTGTGGTGATCTTTTATGCAAGAGCTTCTTTGCTTCCCGGTGGAAATGCTAGATCCTATGTACATGTGGCCACAAAAAACGACGTTAATTTAGTCCCCATACCTATTTCCTCATTGGGTGCCAGGTATCCAGTCCAACGGGAGTTCAACAGGTTCCTAAATGGGGGTGGGGGTGGGGGTGAAAGAATTGTGGGACAAGAGACACAAAGAAGGAGGCCAAGTCAGTTTTTCTAATTAAAGCCTCATTTATTAAAATTTTTTACCCAACTTATATAGGGAGAAGGCAGGAAATGGGGAAGGCTGATTTACTGCTGCAGGAGATAGCAAGAGTGCTTTCATGGCTTGAATATTGCACCTGCAAGATACTGTAAGGATGTTTTATGAAGATATCTCATGGATGCTCTAAGACTAACAAACAGATGTCCTCATAAATCTATCACCCATGACTTAGGGTCCTAGATAACTCTTCTACTAATGGGCTTTAGGTCTCCATCAAATGACCTTTGCTCACTATTTGGCTTTGGCTCCCAGCAGAGTATAAATGTTTCCCAGGCTGGCTTTGGATTCTCTATAGCCAGACAGATCTTGAACTCGTAATCCCCCCTCTTCAAATGAACCACCAACTCCAAGTCTTTGTATTAAACATAAAAGAGTACAGATCTTCAGTGTGAGAGTGCAGCTACTAATGAACAGAAGGAGGCTGTATCAAGTACTATGGAGAGAATAATTGAGTAGTCTGAATAAGAGACCAAGCCATACCTAAGCAACCTATGACAGAGAGAGTACCATATTCCTTATTCTCAGTTTTAAACTTGCTCATAGGAATGATAGACTGATATATTTCATCACTGTCACCTCTAAGGTCTCAGGGACATGTTGATATTTTGGTTCGAGGTGACAGCTTCAAACAGCCAAAGCAGAGGATTTGCCAATAGTTGATTTAATCGTTCTGACTGAGAATAGAGAGGGTCCTTACATCTCCAAGCAAGGGGTCTCCACTGTTGATCTTTGCCACCACTCCTGTGCATTAAAGTTCATGATAGCAAGCAATATCCTAAGATGAACTTTACCTTACTTCTCTGAGTATGAACCAATTATAACAGATGCTCTCTATGTTCCTAGAGCAGTATTTTAATAGGAACCTATAGAAGCAGAATTAAATATAATTAGCCCTTCTTCTGGTGAAGCTGCTCATGACACCTTTTACTGTCTTCCTTAGGTTCCCACATTTCCAGCATCTGGCTGTTTTCCTTGACCAATCATAATGCCTCGAGGTCTGAAGAGTAAGTTAAATGCCCGTGAGAGACGCCACCGGGCCCGAAATAATGCTCAGGTTTCTGAAGGTACTAAGGAAACAGTACAGGCACCAGAAGAGTCCTCTCCTGAATCATGTGGTACCACTGAGATGCCAGAAAAAGAATCAGTTTCCAGAGCAACTATAGATACCTTTTCATCCAGTTTCTCAGATGAAAGTTATATTGATGATTTTGATCAGGAAAACCTTTTTAGGTATTACCAGTTTATTCCTCACCAAAATATTGTAGCCAGAAAGGTCCCTCTGCTGTTGCAGATCCTCCTTGACAACTACAGAAAAAAGCAACTTACTACAATGGAAGATATGTTGCAGGTTATTGATGACAAAGAAATGGATGACTTCCCTGAGATCCTCCGGAAAGTAGCTGAGAGACTCTCGGATGTCTTTGCAGTTGAACTGAGGGAAGTTGAATCAAGCCGGAGGGTATATGATCTTATCAGTAAGCTGAAACTACCCAACAATGGGAGGGTTCGTGCTGGCAAGGGCTTCCCCAAGACTGGTTTCCTGTTGACCATCCTGGCAATGATCTTCATGAATGGAAACTGTGCCAGGGAAGAAGACATCTGGAGAACACTAAGATCTATGGGCGTATATCCTGGGAAGAAGCACCAAATCTATGGAGAACCCCGGAAGCTCATCACTCAAGATCTGGTGAAGCTGAAGTACCTGGAGTACCGGCAGGTGGCTAACAGTGATCCTCCAAAATATGAGTTCCTGTGGGGTCCCCAAGCCCATGCTGAAACAAGCAAGATGACTGCCCTAAAGTTTGTGGCCAAGATCAATGAAATCTCCCCTAAATACTTTGCAGATCTTTATGAAGAAGCTTTAAAGGAGGAGCAAGAGAAGAATCAAAGCAACCGTAAAGTCAGCTCTGCTATTCCTCTCAAAGCTAGGGCATTTTCCTTTGTGATATGTTCACAAGTTTCTCCCTTCATTGCCCAAGTTTAAAAATGTTTTCATGTCTACAAAAAAATATAGCATCACAGTATTTCTCTTGAAACATGAAAAAAGCTCAGAATAAAAAGGGTAATGTAGTGAAGGGATAAAAAGAAATGAAAATATGAATAAGCCTTGCTTTCTATAATTGCTTTTGTTCTGTTTGATGAAGTTAAATGTTTGAAAACTTTCTCCTTGTCTATTGTAAGAAAATAGAAGAAATTAAATGTTTTTTTTTTTAATTAGATTTCATTTATTCACTGTTACTCACTGAACATTTCTATTCCCTTGTTTTATATTTGTGACAGGGTTCCTTGTTGTCCAGACTGGTCTCGAACTTGCCATGTAGCTGTGACTGGCCTTGAACTTCTGATTACCCCTGCTTTCTTGTCCCATGTATTTGGATTATAGCTGTGCACTGCTACACCTGGCTCAATGTGCTTATCATAAGTGTTTGGTTTTTGCTAGAAATTATAGCACTATTGGGATGCTAAGAGAAAAAATACTCAGTGTCCCCTCATATAATTTGTTTTCCTTTTAATGTAAATAGGTTTTTTTCTCATAGAACATGTCCTAATTATAGATTCCGCTCCCTCTACCCTCTTAGTTTCTCACCAGACTCTCCCTACATCTGCATCTACCTCCTCTCTGTCTCTCATTAGAAAATGAGCAAGCTTCTATAGGACTATAATATAATATGATATGATATAATAATATAATATGATATGATATGATATGATATGATATGATATGATATGATATATATGATATGATATAATAATATAATATAATATAATATAATATAATATAATATAATATAATAT